TCTCCTCAGCATCTTGTCTGCGCAACTCATATTGTTCGCGCCCGTATCTTTCTGCCTCCCCATGCGGGTCTGGCCTGTCGGGGCTCCTGGACCTGTCACGCTCTATGAGGGGTACATCGCCTTCGTCGGTCTGGCGGGCTGCTGATCTGGCTGACCTGGTTGGTGCTGGCCTCCGAGGCGAGGAGCTGCTCTGCCTACGGCCCCTGTTGGCTGGGCGCTCCTCGGCTGCACCAGTTGGGAGATCGGTCGCAACGGGGGACTCCGCTGGGGCGGTCGCTGCCTCGGCTGCTCCTCTGGCTTTCTCGCACAGGTCAGCGGCCTCCTGGTAGTCGTCCATGGACTCTTGGGACGTTGGGAGGTGGCCCCCTTGGACGAGGTGATGAGCTGCCCTCTTGGTGAAGTCGTAGCCCTCCTGCCCGTATTGCCTCATCTCGGCGTACAGGCTGACCATGGCCTTGCGTTCACGTTCCCTGATGGCTGCAATGGCTTCCAGGCTCTGCACTCTCAGCTTTAACTCCTCTGTCCCCGACGCGCCCTGCTGCTCCTTCTTTGCGATGGCGTCGAGCTCGGTGCGTAGCGTGCGGGAGCGCTGGAGGCTTTCTTGCAGCGCGAGGTGAATGGCCTCCTCCCTGCCCGTCCTCTGCTGGCTGGCAAAGTCCTCCATGGCGGAGGCCTCTTCCATGCTGGCGATCCTGAAGGCGAGGGCTTGGGCGAGCTCCTCCTCCAGCGCCTGCTCCTGCACCTCTGCGTTGTACCTTTGCTCGCTCAGCTGCACCGCGTAGCTGCTCAGTTCCTGTCGTAGGCTCTCTGTGTGCAGCTGCAAGTCATGTGCGTTCGCTTCTTCTAGCATGACTTGGCGGGTGAGACTCGACCTTATCCGCTCAGCACTGCCTTCGAGCTCTGCCCGCAGTGCCTCCTTGTCCTTCAGGCTGGCCTTCGCAATCTCCTCCTCCTCTGCCCTAGTCCTTAGCAGGGCGAACTGCAATGCCTGCACCTCGTGCGGGACCTGCCGCTCCTCGTTGACGCTTCTCAGCTCCGCTACTTCGTGGTATGCAACCTGTACTGCACGCTGCGCAGCGCCCGCCTCAAGCTTGGAGTACTGCTGGAGCTCGTGTATGCGGGCTTCAGCTGCCTCGAGCTCGCTTTTGGTCTGCTTGAGCCGATCCTGCTGCCGTGCTGCTGTCTGGACGATCCCCTGCAGCCTGGCCGCTTCTGCCGGCGGGAGGGCCCCTTTTCCCTTGGCGTTGGCAACCACTTGAGCCTGGGCAATTGCCTGGACCCTGGCTGATTCGGCGGCAGCTTCAAGCTCGAGGGCGTGGTTCTTTTTGGCCTCCTGGAGCTTCTCTTCCATGGCCAGCTCCTGCCTGGTGAGCTGCTGCTTGAGAGTGCCCGCTGTAGCTGTCGCTTGGGCGCTCTCGTGCTGGGCCTGTCGCAATGCCTCTTGCGCCTCGGCTCTTGCCCGCAGCAGGTCTTGGTAGACCCTGTCCTGGAGCTGCGGCTGCGCTCGGTGCTCCGCTCGGGCATACTCAAGCTGCTCTTGCAGGTGATTTGCACGCTGGGTCGCCGCTTCGGCCTCTGCCTTGGCTTGACTGAAGGCTGCGTCATGGCTGATTATCCTGGCCTCCATCTGCGTCGCGAACTCGAGCTGCTCGGCTTGTTGCTTCTTGATCTCGTGGCGGAGAGCCTTGCGTTGCTGCTGCTGCTGCTGCTGGGCTGCACTCTCCGCTGCGGTGATGCGCTGCAGCTGCTCTGACTCCTCCTTGAGTGCCAGCCTGAGTTTCGCCTGCTCGGCGTTGTGGCGGAGTGCCTGCTCTCGGGCGACCCTCCTGACTTCCGCCAGCTCGGCAGCAAACTCCTGCTCGGCTTCGGCATGGCGCTGCTGCTGGTGGGCCCGCTCCGCATTCGCCTCAGCCACCTGATCGGCGAAGCCTCTGGTTGGGCTGCCTGCCGAGCTGGCTCTTGAGCGTGGCGAGCGCCCCACCACTCCCGCTGGCCAGGCTGGAAATCCGTCACCAGGTGCTTCGCTGTGCAGGCGCCTATCGATCACGGCCTTGTGGAAGGCATCCCAGCTCGGCGCCAAGCCAAACCCGTCCGCGCCCCAGTCGCCCTCGTCGCCCGCCGCGCCGCCGTCGGCGAGCACGGCCCGCACGTCGGCGATGTTGGACTCGAGCTGCCTCAACTCCTGCTGCTTGGCCTTGAGGTCGTCCCGCAGCTCGTTCGTCTTGGCCTCGAGGGCGACGACTTCGAGTTTGACGGCCTTGCGCCTCTTGCTGAGCACCTGCAGCTGGTCATTCGGCCTCCTCGTGACCAGCTTCTGGTATTTGATGACCGAGATCTCCATCAACTGCTCCTTCGTGCTGTCGCCCGCGGCCTGCTTGGCGACGACCAGGTCGCCGAGCTTCCTCAGCCTCTGGTCCGCACTGCTCAGAAACTTCTGGATGCCTGCGCGGTCGGCTGGGGGCGCCTGCCACTTTGGGTGGGAGGTGGCCTCGTCCAGCGTGCAGGCTGCCACCGAGTCAATGACTTTTTGAGCCCTCTGTTCCGCTTTGCTGGAGCTGGCCTGGCCGCCTTTGCCCGCCCTGGGCTGCTGCTGCAGCTGCTGCTGCTGCTGCTGCTGCTGCTGCTGCTGTTGCTGCCATGGGGGCTGGCTGGGCTGCTGCTGCTGCTGCTGCGGTTGCCATTGGCGAGGGCTGGCCTGGCCAGAGCGCCGCGGCCGTGATAGCGTTCTGCGCCAGGGCGGGTCCTCGCCAACTGGCTCCGCATGCCACTGCTGTTCTTGCCATCCAGCGCCCTGCCACCTCTCCTGGCGCCAAGGGGGCGCTGCTGGCGGCGCTGCTCCTTCCTGGGCGTGGCCCTTGCCGCCTCGGCCACCGCTGCCTCTGCCCTTCCCGTCTCTTGCCATCGCTGGCTGGGCAGAGTGGTCGGCGGCCAGGCGCTCGGCCGCCGCCCGCAGGCGGAGCAGGAGCCTGTCCTGGGCTCTCTGCTGCCGCTCACGGCGGTGTGCAGCGCCCTCTGGACCTCCTCCTCGTCGATGTGGCGGCGTCCCGCCGGTGGGCCGCAGCGCGGCCGCGAGCGCCGCGGCCTGCGGCAGGGGACAGGGAGGCACGGGTGGACCCCTGCCGCAGAAGATGGCGCGCGGCGCGCGTGAGCCCGGCCTCGGGGGCTGGCCGATGCGCGATGCGCCCTGCCACCGCGATCGATCGGGCGGCAGGCGCCGACCGACCCCGATGGATCGATCGGGATCGGCTGGCCCGCAAGAGGCCAAATGGTTTGTACCCTGGTCCTTCTCCTCATCTCCCTCCTCGCCCTCCTCATATTATTCCTCCTCCTCCTCCTCATCATCATCATCAGCATCATCATCAGCATCCTCATCATCTTCAGTAGCATCATCATCATCAACGTCGTTATCATCATCATCATCATCATCATCATCATCATCATCATCATCATCATCATCATCGTCGTCGGTGTCCCCACCACCACCACCACCATTCACCATAACAGCTTCATCAGCATTAGCAGCATCATCATCATCATCAGCATCATCGTCACCACCATCAGCACCACCATTATCCGTATCATCAACGCCTTTATCACCATCACCATCATCGGCGTCATCATCGCCATCGTCATCATCATCAGCATCATCAGCAGCAACATGGTCATCATCATCATCAGCAGCATCATCCTAATCATCACCATCATCAGCAACATCGTCATCAGCATCGTCATCGTCGTCAGTAACATCATTATCAGCATCATCGTCGTCGCCATCGCCATCACCATCACAGTCGTCATCCCCAATGTCATCGTTATCGTCATCGGCATCGGCATGGTCATCATCTTCTTCATCATCATCGTCATCATCGTGATCCTCATCATCAACATCATCATCATCAGAATAATCATAATAATAATCAGCATCGTCATCGTCATCGGCATCATCATCGTCATCGGCATCATCGTCGTCATCGCCATCGTCATCGTATTCGTCACCATCATCATCAGTAACATCATCAGCACCATCATCATCGTCGGCGCTGTCACCATCATGATAATCATCATCATCGTCATCATCACCATCAGAATCGTCATCATAGCCTTCATCTTCATCGCCCTAATTATCGTCATCATCATCACCACGACCACTCTCATCATCGTCATTATCAGCATCATCAGCATCATCAGCATCATCACCACCACCAGCAGCATCACCAGCAGCATAATCACCGGCAGCATCACCATCACCATCACCATCATCATCATCATCATCATCAACATCATCGTCATCATCATCAGCATCATCATCATCCTCATCATTATCATCATCATCATCATCATCATCATCATCATCATCATCATCATCATCATCATCATCATCATCATCATCATCATCATCATCATCATTGTCGTCATCGTCATCATCATCATCGTCCTTGGTGTCATCGTCTTGAGGAGGAGGTGGCGCAGGATAAGGAAGAGGAGGGCGCAGGATGAGGACGCGGAGGGCGCAGGATAAGGAAGAGGAGGGCGGATGAGAAGGAGGAGGAGGAGGAGGAGGGCGAGCGGAAGAGTGGAGGGGAGGGGAGCGTAGAAAGGCGAGGGACCAGCAGGACCGCTGGACCCCATGTAACCCTGAGAGCCCTCGACTCTTCGAGGACACCTGGGACCCCTGGACCTTGGAACCCGAGGTACTTTTTAGGGTCCTCAGGACCCTCAGTGCCTCTGGGACTGGGATCGGGGGGGGGGGCTGCGGCCGCGGCGGTGGCGGCGGCGGCGGCGGTGACGACGACAGCGACTTCGACAGCGGCTGCGGCAGCGGCGGCGGCGGCGGCGGCGGCGACGACGACGACGACGGCGGCGGCGGCGGCGACGACGACGACGATGACGAAAACCTCGACGACGACAAAGATGATGACGACCTCGACGAAGGTGAAGATGACGACGGCCTCGACGACGACGAAGACGATGGAGGCGGCGGACGCGGCGGACGCGCGGTCCTGGAGCTCGGGCGCGGGCAGCCCGCGCAGCCACGGATGCTGGAGGAGACCCTCGGGCGGAGCGGCGGAGGGCGGCGTGGGTCGGGGGCAGACGACGACGTCGTCGACGACGACGACGACGGCGGCGGCGGCGGCGGCGACGACGACCACGACGACAATCAGGGTCACCCGTGGGCGGGCGAACCCAAGACGTTGTCCGGGCGAGGCCTGGAAGTCCCAAGCAAGCGTAACCCGGAATCCATTCTGGCCAAGCCCGGAAGCGAGAGCCACACCCGGATTCCCGGAGAAGCCGAACCTGGAATCTGTTCCGGCCCAAACCTGGAATCCCCAGAGCACAGAATCGGAATTCCACGCCCAGGATTCCAAGAGAGCCGCAAGGTCTCGACGATGCTTGCGTGACAGCCCACTCCGCTAAACATCCCAGGAGCCCACGTGAGCACCGACAATTGCGTAGGTCCCAGCTCCCCCAGGGAGCCGCGAGATATCTACGGGGTGTGCATAACACCCCAGCCCGCCAAGGTGGCGACACTTACGCAATTCGCATCGCTCCATGGAGCGATGTCGACGGGTTGCGCGTGACAACCCACTCCGCTGGACCTCCCAGGGGCCCACGAAAGAGAGACGATAATGGCGCAATCTCCTTGCACCAGTTTTCCCATCGCTGTCCACTGGACGCCCTCGGGGGCGAAAAACTGCTCCACTCGATGCCCTGATTCGAGATCTTCCGCGCGGATCGGCAGTCCTGACTGAGTCGTCCCCAAACGTGGTGGTGACAACACCTGGCGGTGAGTCTCGGGCGATTTGGTGTCACCACCCGGTTTGGGGACTCGTGCGGTTTTCCGAGGATGTCCCGAACACTGGTGGGTCCAGGAGTCACAAAACCCGGTGGTGACCCCGTGTCCCCAAACCCAGCGGTGACCTTTTTGGGGATTCCAGGTCGCCACCTGGTATCTCACCACCCGGTTTGGGGGTTCCCAAGGATCGGCAGTCCTGACACACCCGGACTCCTCAAGTCTAGAGCACGCCCGCGCGGGCCGATGGGCGCGCGGAGCGGCAACGCCACGGGGCGGCTCCGCCCGACGCACCACGCTGCAGCGCACGGGAGGCGAAACGAAAGTGCTGCTCCACTCTACTCTCAGGGGGACGTAAGACCTGGGTACAGGGGACTCGGAAATCCCCGACGAGGTCGTCGAAAAAATGACGAGGCCGAGCCTGCATTTTGACGAGGCCTCCCGCTGCAGACATCCCACGAAACTCCTCCTCGTCAAAATCCGAGGCGCGGTCGTCAAGAAACGATGGCGAACCCGAGTCCTGGCAAACCCGGGTCTTACGCTCCCCCGATACTCTGCTCGTCACGCGGCAACGCCGAGGTACGGACAAACAATGCGAGTCCACTCCTACTCGCCACGTGGAATTGCCTGGGTAGGCGAAAAGTGACACTCCACTCTACTCGCCACGCGGCAACGCCTTGGGGGCGAAACAAATTCCACTCTACTCCAGGCGTGGCAACGCGGCGGGGAGGAAAATATAGCATTCCACTCGATGCCCTGATTGTGAGAACTTCCGCGCCGATCGGCCGCACTGACACACTTAGAGTTCCCAATTCTAGGGCAGGCCTGCGCGGGCCGATGGGCGCGCGGAGCGGCAACGCCACGGTGCTGAAAAGAAACTGCTCCGCTCGACGCGCCACGTGGCAACGCGCAGGGGGTGAAACAAAACTACTGCTCCACTCCACTCGTGACGTGGCAACTCCGCGGGGCGACCAAAAATACGAACCCACCCTTACTCGCCACGGAGCAACGTATGGGGGGGCGAAAATATAAAATTCCACTCTACTCGCCACGTGGCAACGCCTTGGAGACGGAAACAAAATCCACTCTATTCCGGGCGTGGCAAAGCCGCGGGGAGGAACACATAACATTCCATGCGACTCGTCGCGTAACAACGCCTCGAAGGGGAACAACTCATCCACCCGATACCCTGATTTGAGATCTCCCGCGCCGATCGGCTGCACTGACACACTCAGAGTTGCCAATTCTAGGGCAGGCCTGCGCGGGCCGATGGGCGCGCGGAGCGGCAACGCCATGGGGCGAAAAGAAACTGCTCCGCTCGACGCGCCACGTGGCAACGCGCGGGAAGTGAAACAAAACTACTACTCTATTCTACTCGTCACGTGGCAACGGCAAGTGGCGACCAAAAATATGAAACCACTCCTTCTCGCCACGAAGCACTGCCCGGGGGGGGGCTAACAAATCACACTCCGCTCTGCACGCCACGAGGTAACGCCTTGGCAGCAAAAGACAACATCCACTCTGTTCGGGGAGCGGCAACGCCGCGAGAACGCCGAAAAGCCTCCGGTCGTAACCTCTTCACCGCGTCGGAGACCTGGCCCCCCGCACCGGTCCCGAGGCGCCGCCCGAGGAAGCCTCGAGGGAAACCCGACCGTGGCCAGCGAGAACGCCGCGGGAGACAGCAGTTGCCGGCGGCGGGCGGGCGAGAG